TACTCTCATAGATGATTTGTAATAACTTTGGTGACTTTTCCTCTGAGACAATCATCAGATCAAAATTGTACATTTTCCAACATTTCTGTTGCTAAACTAATACCATTTGTAACTGCCACATTTTCATTTTCGAAAAAAAAAAAGGGAAGCACGATTAAAAGCGTGGACGCTAAGCTAAAGGTTTAAGAGAAGAACAAGAAGAAAGAAGAACATCCAGGCTAATTCCTCTCTCTGTACTCAGCCAACGAGGTACTGTTTTTGTCTGTTTATTTTGTAGTAGTTTTATTTGCCAATTGTCTTTTCTGTAAGCTAATTATTGTCTTGTCTTTTGGTTTTCACGATGTGTTTATGAGCCTATACCAAGATAGATTCAGTAAATTCATCCGTTAAGAAAGCCACTTGTGGAGGAATTATACCATTCGTATTAACTGTTCTTGTATTTTGCAAAGCAGGCCGTGACTGGTGTTACTTTTACTCTTGTTTAAACACTGATCCTCTGCAACACTAAAACCACCCTCCTAACATTGTGTACATCACAATGTTCCAAAAAGCACTGACCAGACATGGACATGGGTCCTCTGGGGGTGTCCTGTGACGCGAGCAGTGGATCCTTTGGGTCCTGTAGGCTGCAGCGTGGTGCCTCCGTGTACCAGGCTTGTTCTGGTCACATCCCATGTCGTGGATGCTCATTCAAGGTCAGTGCTTTGGGCTCTTGAGCTGATTTTGTGTTGCGACAGGATGCACTGTCCTGCTGGGGGAGGACGCTGCTGTCTATGAGGGATGTGCATGGTTAGGGGAAGTGTTTAAAAAAAAGTGAGTGCAGAAGATTTCCCTGCAGAACATTGCATTTTAAAATAATCAGCGTTACTCACTTTACCTGTCCCTGGTTTGATCATGTATCCTGTACATCATGCATGTATGTGTACCTCTTCAAAAATAATGCAGTGTTAAATATAAACCTATTGTTTCATTTCTCTCAACCCAGATTAAAAACAATCACTCCTTGCATTCATGAGTGTAGTTCTAATAGTGCTGACACGCTTTAACGATGTCTCACTTGACTTGAAAGTTAATCCTGAAGCGAAGGGGGCTGTTGACACGACGACTGTCTGATGACAAACAGGAAGAGAGCAGATCTACTGATGGAATTTACACCTCAGGAATCACATTATTATTATTATACCAGTGGATTTGTCAGGGCCGTGTGTGTGAGCACAGATCAGTGAGGAGTGTGTGTGGTGCATATGGTAAAACGCTCTGCAGGTCTGCTGTTAGTCACACTCCCGCGTCTCAAATTGAATTAGCGTTGACAGCGCACAGCGCCAGCCGCGTGTTCATGTGTGCGCACTGGGGGCACTAACTGTTGGCAAACCGTCTGTGTGTGTGTGTGAAACAGAAGAGAAAGAGGACCTTCTCCCCTGAAATCAATTAAGCGAGTATAGGTCTGCGGTTGTGGGGGTGAGAGGGGCAACATCCTGTAGAGGGCAGCCCAGACGGACAGCACCATCTGGGGCGGCGGGCGGGTCGACCCCTTGGTTGAGACATGAAAGAAAGCGAGGCAGGGATAAGGGGAGAGGAGAGTGCAGGCCGGCGCTAAATCACTCTTTCCTCTCCGCCCCGTCCCCTCGTATGCCATCCGATACATCAGCCACGGAGCATCATTCTCACTCAATCACTCTCCACCTCTTTCCTTTGCTCACCCCCTTCCCTCTGTATCTGTCCCAGGAGTGATAACCTGTCATACACAGGAAGCAAAAAGAGCTAAGAGCGATCTATCCCACTGTCAGAGATACGGGCAAAGAGAAAAAGAATATCTCACATCTCTTGTTCCAAAAGGGCTGATTTATAGGTTTGTATTAAATAAAAACCAAAGCCAGAGCGTCTCTCTCTCTCTCACACACACACACACACACACACACACCTGTAGACTCCCCCATCGGACAAGGGGAGGAATTAGCACGCACGGTTTCTCTTAGGAGGAGGGATGTTTCCTCATGATGGACAGCCTGGGTCAGAGTGTGCGTTGTGTTTGTTGGTCATAAGCTGAGTGCTGACAGCTCCTCTTCCAGCCACCCTGCACCAACACACACACACACACACACACACACACAGCTCCATTCATGATAAAACACTCAGCTCAACAAGAAAGGGGAGAGTAATTGAATTACACTGACCGTGGTGATGGCAAAACAGGATCATTTATGTGTAACTCTAACAGCAGAGCAACAAAAGGTGCACATTTGATCAAAAAGCTGCAGTTAAAAGAAAATAATGCATCAAAAATTTGGTGATTTAGACTTTCTGGTGACAAATGCTTCGTGCATTGTGAAGATTCTCTGTCTTTTGCTGCATCAAAGCGGGTTAAAGTGCAATATTCCCCTCAGCTGAAACACGAAGCTGCAGACCACCGAGCGCCACAAAAACGCAGCAGACAAGGTGAGAATACAGAGTCGAGGCGCGAGTTAGAGACCGTGGGCGATTAACACGTTCTGTGATGAATGACATCGGTCTGAGGCCCAGATGGAGCTCAGAGAGGAAACTCCAAAAACACACACAAACACGCGGGCCAGCTGCCAGGCCACATGTTAAAGCTGTTTGTCCTCTACTTATCTAACCTCTGCTCCTGTAAGACAGCGGCTTGTCAGGGAGCGCATGCCTTTGCAAAGCCCCAGTGACCCTTGTCTGCACACGAGTGTGGCCGCGCTGCAAGGAATGCCCACATTTATAGTACAAAGCAACGTGCAAATCCACGGAGAGTCATCGAAGGAGAACATCTCAAGAGTCGGGACAAAGTTTTTGATATTTTCAGCAAAAGAGGCTCCATTTAAGAAAATAGGAAAATAACATCAAGAAGCAAAGGAGCACTTTCACTGTGCAGCGTATGCCTGCTTGAAAAGGTAGTAGAGGAGCGCTTAATAACTGTTAAACTCCTCTTGCTTTTCACATTACTCACTGAGCGTAATTCAATTTCAGCCACAGCTGGTTTCACTTTCAACTTTACAGCTGAGCTCAGTCATGTCCCATAATCTAACCTGATAAATAACCAGCTTTTATTGAGTTTGCAGAGAAAATAGCGTCCAGTATAAACCTTCACAAGAGGAGCGCGGAGCCAAGTACGAGTGAGGCTGCAGGGCATACGAAGCTGAATGGGCGAGAGGGCCGCGTGCACGTACGCGCGCTCGCCCAAAGTCTACGGCGACTATTATTAGGAGATAACTGACGTACACGTGTTTGTGCAGAGTGTGTGTGTGTTAATCTAATGAAGGCAGAGTATATTTACACGTCTCCACTCTCTGCAGAGGCTTCTCTCCTGTTTCAGGATGCCATTTCACATGATTGGAAACAAATGACTTCAGGGTCAAGTTTCTCTCCCTTTACTGCCTGTCAATCACCGCCGAACGGTCCAGAAAACGCCCGTCCTCGTGTTATTGCTAACTTGAATCGGCACAGTTTCCATGTTATTGCAGCCACCGCCTACTGGTGGATTACGTTGACGCATTATGAGGCAAATTCAGATGTGGATGTTCATCAAAAGCCTGATAAAAGGTTGACTCAGCAGCTGCATGCTGCTTCCCTCCAGTTTTGTGCTAAGCTAAGCTAATCGGCTGCTGTTTATGACTTCACATTAAGACTTCTGCACGCATTCAAAGTTCTCATTTAACTCTCAGCAAGAAAGCAAAAAGCTGCCATGACTTTGCACTGCGTCTTTTACTCAAAGTGCTTCATTTACTGCCACAAATGGTTCCATCGAGCACCGTTTGTACTCAAAACGCAACACATTATGTACAGCTTGCAACACAGCATGGCAGCTAATGATGACAGGTTCTGACACATTTTTCCTTTTTGTGTGTTAGTGTGTGTGTGTGTGCTTTGCTATTCTGGAGAGTGGCAGGTGCAGAGTTCAGCTCTCCCGGTATGAAAGCAATTTGCCTAATTGAAAGATCAGGAATTAGTCGAGAGTTTAAAATGATTGTCCCACGCAGCCCAACATGGAAATGACAGACAGTATCAAATAACCAGCGCAGATTATGTGTGTCTGCAGACAAAGGGCAGGCTGTTTGATAGCGCTGCACCTGACCGCTCGCCGAAACACGGGCCGTCCCCCCTTTCGCCTCCAATTAACTCCTTCCTGCTATTTCCACGTCCAGCGCACATTAGCTCGCTGCCACGCTCGGCCATGACAAGTAAATTGCTGTTTGGTTACGACCGTTTGTCGGGAAACAGGCCATTTCCCCCCGCTTTGCCTAAAACCGCTGTTCGGGGCTCCGCCGAAAGGGAAGGAGGGAGGCATGGGTTTAGAGTCTGAGCTGAAGGCAGGAATTATCACATCAGCGGCTGAACGGGCGTGCCCTCCTTTGGTACGGACAAAAAAACACAGAGTTATGTTTCGCCCACAGTCGTGAGCGGTTTTCATCCTTTCTCGGTGAATTTCGCTGTTGTGAAAAGCCTTCCCCGCAACTCCAAAGAGGTCGAGCAGCGGTATTGATTTACTGTTGATGCTGGAACAGCGTTACAACACAACGACTGTATGAGAGGGCGCCGAGCCTCGATCCAGCCCCGTTACACACTGCTGCTCATAAAGATCTCGGTAGAATAACCGTTTCACCTCCATGCATCTCTGATTAGTCCTATTATTGGTAATAAAGCACAGGGATGGAAACTGGCCGCCTGGATTCTGGCAGCTGTTGTTTCTTCCCCCTAAAAATCACAGAGAGACTTGATGAGCTCATGTTTTTAGTCGGGGGGTGGCCAAGCAGCCCGATACTGAGATTCAACTCAGGAAAACACAATATACGTCTTTGTTCAGTTTCAGGGAATACTAGCTGATAATTACAACGTCCATCCTTTCATCATTTCTTGTTCAGAGTCACTTCCTCCTGCACAACGTGTTCGGTTCTGCATTAATACAGCTGGAAAACATGGGCCATGGATTCCATCTTTTGCTTCTTTTTTTATCCATACTGTAGATATGTTGGGAAAAAAAAACATATTCATCTTGCTTGATCTTAACAAAGATGTGAAAAATACTTTAATAGGATCTTATGGTCAGCTTTAACAGTCTTTGTCATGTTACATACCTCAGGTCCTACTGCTGATGCTCTTTGGTAACACCGCTACAGCCCTCCAAGAGGTTCAACAGGGAGACTGAAATGTCAAAGACAGATTCTGTGTAGCAAAATAAAACTGGGCTTTCCATCTCAGATAAAAATCTGTATCCTGCCTGAACAGAAATGTTTCTGTTTACTCCAATGTTGGCCCTCTAGATGCGTGTGCATAGCTTCTGCTTGACTTTTTTTGTGCTGGTAAATCCAACACAGTGTATAAAACAGTTTTTTTTTTAAATACAAAAAAATGTCCCCGCAGCCGCATTTCTCCTTTGAGTCTCGCTCGAATAGAGAATCGGCCCCCTCTGTTTTGTTGCAATAAGCTTTGGCTTGTTACTCTCAATGGGCCGGAGCCTGCAAGTGCGGTCCAGCTGTCAGAGGCAGTGGTTGGTGGTCGGGTGCCACGGAGACTGGCGCAGCAGACAGTCTGTGGTGTCTTCGGCGAGTTTGGCGTGCCGGGAAATAGCTGCGAGTTGGGGGTTCAGGGGGAAGCTGTAGCGGTAGAGGCAGTAGGGCCCCGCGGTGTCGGAGAGATGAGGGAGGAGAGAGGGCCCCTGAGGGCTGAGGGGGCCGTGGAGAGGGATCGGGCAGGGGGCGCTCCCCGGAGACCCGTGAGGACATGGGTCCCTGCAGTGGGGAGGCTTCTTCCCCTGCAGCGCCGAGAGGAGCGGGAGGTCTGCCAGTGGAGGCAGCGGGGGGAGGCCTCTCAGTCTGTCTGCCCCCAGGGAGGAGAAGGCTCTGCCGGGCAGCGGGGAGATGGCGGGCGAGGCGGCCGACGTCTTGCCGTACAGGGGGAGGGCGAGGGCGTGGAGGGCGGCGTCCTGGCAGGTGAGCGCGGAGAACGGATGGAGGGACGACGATGGAGAAAGGGGAAGGAGGCTCTTCACTCCGGGCGACGCTGAGCTCCCTGTGGACAGACGTCAGAATCACAAAGTTAAAAAAAACCAAAACCTCAGCTTGGACCAGAGAAGGAAAAAGAGTCGGTACCTTGGAGCTGTATGGCAAAAGGCTTGAAGTCCAAGCTGAGCGGGCCTCTCCAGGGATATGACTCCAACAGGCCATCCAAAACCCCCCTGTTCACACAAACACACACCCACGTATATACTGTAAAAGCAGTGAAAAATGTTATTCCAGGTATTTAAATATTGGTTCTGAGAGGTGTGAAATTCTGCACTACACAGTCGGGTTTTATTTGAAGGTTTTATGTGGCTTCAAATTTCAGCGGTTGAACTTAAAATCCCTCTTGGGTCCTTTAGTGGAGTGCTTTCTGAGCTAAGAAGTAGTGTTCAGTGAGGTTATTCTGTACCTATTCCTTCCTGGATCTCTGAAGCCTTTGGCGAAGGGGTTCCTGTCGATCTTCAGTTTTGTGATCTTGCCCGGGAGAGAGGAACAGACATGGGTTAGAGCGGACGTGTCAGCCGCTGACGTGTTAAGCTAACAATGAGCTCAGCTTTACGACAGCGTGGAGAGTGGCACAGCTCCCCCTCTGGGACTGCATCTCCCAGCAGCACCCAGGGCGATCAGCCATGTCAAACAGGGCTCTCGGAGAAAAAGGGGGTTCGGGGTCACAGAGTTTTATTCGGCGCTTTAATAGGCTGCGGACTCCAGCAGTCGGCACAGTCACAGCTCGTTACTGAGTTTCTGTAATAATACGTTGGCTGATAGTAAAATGAGACCTGATGAAAAGAGCTGGTAGTCCCCGTGGACGGCTCTGTTACTGCAGGAATGGTAGCCAACAGCAGGGTCAGCACCCCTGCACAGGAACACACACGCCCGCTCTGAGAGTCTTGGCCCCGGCAGAAAATCAAGACACCATAAATTTATCATTTCGCTGAGACCTCGTGGATTTAGGCCTCATCGGCTGCACAATGCGGAGACTCAGACATTTAATGTGAGGTCAAAGAGCTGGAGCTGTTGACTGGATCATCGTAACAGCCACTGTGTCGCTGACAAAGACTAAACATCTGCTTTTTGAATTTTTCTGGCACACACAGGATGAAGACTGCAAATGAGTAACATGGAGTCACCGGTTCATTTCTAGAAAATATCATTACATTTTTTCAGCTTAACAAAGAACAATTTGAATGCATCTTTGGTGCTCTTATTTTGAAAACTCATGTTCAGGATTGTGTAACACAGTCTGTTACTGATCCAAAGGATGATGCAGTTAACTGTAGAGTTACCTGTTGATTCTGATAAGCTGTGACTGTGGTGAACTCGGTTTCTGGGAAGGAGAAGCTGTGAACTCCCTCAGCAGGCAGCGACTGGATCTGAGACAAGTCCATCCGAGGGTTGTGCCGGATGATGTGTACACGTGGCTTGTATTTGTGCATCGACTGAAGAATAATCTGGATCAAGAAAATGAAAAGGGAAATTTTTAAATTACAAAATGGACCTCTGCTATATTCTCAGTAACCACAACTTTAGAAACAAACAAATAAAACTGCAACCAATGATTATTTTAGGCTTTAATCTATAAATTATTCTGTAAAAACTCACTGTTTGGACAATGAAATGGCACAAAATGGGGGAAAATACACAATTTACTGAATCGTCAAGTATCGCCAAATTACTTTTTTCCCCATAACAACAAAATTATTTTTTTCATTTTAAAATTAATTGATTAGAAAAACAGTTGCCAATATTTTTTTTATTTAGTCTATTGATTAATTACTTTGGCTGCGTAGTACATAGTTAGTAGTCTAGTAGTTTGTGAATGCTGCAAAAACATATGTTTTAAATTATTTTAAAAATTATATTAATTCTTAAAAAACACAGATAAAAGTGTTTTTTAAAAGTTTTTTCTGCACATAAATCTTTGCTGTTACAGAAAAACCACAGTAAATTTGTGAAAGAAACAAGACAATGGAGAGAAATATTTTTAAGAAAGTCAGACGGTTGCATCGCTGTCTAGAAAACACAATAATACACAAACTATAACTGTTTTAACTGTAATGCAGGTTTAGCCAAAATGTGAAATTCCACAAATAAAACTAACAAATCAACAAATATCTTCCAGTTAAGTAGCATATTAGTAATAACTCTCTGACTATATCGTGGAAATTGATTCGATCTGAGCGTTGATCTACTTTTACATGCATTTTGCAAAAGGAAGTTAAATTAAATTGAATTTCCCTAAAAGGTATTTTTGCAGTTCGCTGTAACACATTTGTGGCGCTTTGTTATTATTATCATTTTCTTTTTTTGGTAATTTATGAAATATTTAGTTCAAATAAAATAGAATATATAGAAATACATAAATCAACTAATTTTGGGTTCTTAAGTCCATGAGAGAAGCCAAATAGAAATAGAACACGTTGATGTAACATACGTGAGGTTTCACAGTGGAGGTAACAGATTATCTTATAAAATACACAAAGCAGCTACATCGCCAAACACAGTGGAAACAGGAATACGCCTGAGAAAGGTACGACAATAAACTTTATTGGTGTTTAAAACCAAAACGAGCTAAATAACACGCTTCCAAAGAGGCCATAAAGTGACCACAAGAGTATCAGGGATTGTGAGGCTGCTTCAGCGGCGTGAGTCTCAGCTCAAGTGAAAACAGAGTTACCGAGTTCCTGCAGTGGAACAGCGAACGTCCCGCACACACAAGTGCCAGGGTGGTTTTATAAACACCAGGATCAAGTCGAAAGCCTCTTACGGCCTCAGTGGTCACCACATCTGTGCATCACAGGAAGTTTTGGAGCCAAGACAGGATTTCTAATTCCTTCCTCTTTCCAGCTTTGCTTCAATAGAACCTTCAAGGTGTGTATGATTGAAGGAGGACTGAAGGAAAGACGGACTCTGGTGCTGTGCCACCAATAGCAACACTTTGAAATATAACCAAAAATGACATTATAGATATAAATAAAAGCTACAAAAAGAAAAAAAACAACACACCCTGGGTTCACTTAGATCCAAGCACCCATTGTATATGCTTATTATTATTTATTTTTTATTATTATACAGCAGTTATACTATCAAATACTTTATTTTTTTTCATATTAGCACCATCTGTTTTTTCATGCACCTTTACCTGGTCTTCTACCAGCACAATTTTTGCACTTTACTTCTTCTACCAGCAGCTTTTGCACCTTATTTTCCTTATTTCTCTTAAATGTAACACATGTGAGCTACTGGACACCTTGAATGTTCCCAAGGGGATGAATAAAGTATCTATCTATCTATCTATCTATCTATCTATCTATCTATCTATCTATCTATCTATCTATCTATCTATCACCTGGAGGCCTAGTTTTTATTCACTGCACAGAGAAAGAGGAAGCAGCTCATATGTTACCTACATGTCCCTTGTCGTCCATCTCGTTGTTGGTGAGTTTGACCCGGTCAAAGCTGATGACCTGCCGCATCCACGTCTCTCCTGCGCACGGCGAGTCCGGATGCACGTAGAGCCGCGGGGAGATGCACGAGTGGTCCGTGTTTCCAGCCACCATCCACTGCGAGCTGTGGTACACATACCTGAGGAGGGAGAACACACGCAACATGGCTAAACGGGTAAATGGAAAATATACATATATAAAGAGAGAGTTGGAATAATTTAATAAGCACCCACCTGTAGCGTTTGGAGTCCACCGGCATGACGTCCATCGCGATGTAATACTGCTGGCAAGGGTCCAGGTTGCGCACTTTTACGCGCACAGAAGGAAACATTCTCCTGCAGAAAAAGAGAGAAATAGAAGCGCAGGATATTTTTTTATTATTATTACAAAGAAGAAAATACTACAAAAGTCAGCGTAAACCTTCCTGAAACAGGCAGAGAAGTCATGGATTTCCCATTATGATATGGAGCAAAACTAGATGAAGCAGAAACTCTCCTGCCTGTATGCGGCCAAGTTCAGAGGAACGTTCAGGGACCTCGAGGGGCCTTGAGGGCATCTTCACTACCGAGATTTATAGCGGGTGTTCTCGGTAATTGAATAAACGGAACCGAGATTTCAGCAAGTAGTTACGTCCTAATAACTCATTTCTGGAGGAACAGAAGCGGACGCGCATGGCTGCTTATCAGAGCGCAGACGCACGTCTTTGAAACTGAAACATAAAGTTAATTGAATCCACCTACACCCGAGAACATCTCCGTGTCACAAGGTTTCGTTGTGCTGCAGACAGTCTTATCGAATAGGTCTCCTTGTATTTTTTTTTTTTTTTTAAATTCAGTTCCATTAAATGTGGGAATTTTTCATTTCTTTTGACATGTTTCGCTTCTAATCCAAAATAAGAGCCAAACGACAAAGACGCACAGATGGTGAAATCACACATTTCTGCATGTTAACTAAGGACAGAGTAAACATGACACTTTCAGTTACCGTTAAATGGCCTCGATAAGTCCCAGCTCATTTGTTTAGAAAGTGTCGTAAAACTGGCAGTTCTTCTGCTCACCTCTGATTGGCTGCAGCGCCTTTTTTCAAACACCTGATAAAGACGCACCTGTAACCGCAGAACGGTTCGTGTAAATATCGTATCATATGCTGATAAAGACCGCTCTATTCTGGATTTTATTTAAAACTGACACTTTAACCTAACATTAAATTAAAACAGAAACATTATCAGAAACAAAAGCCAGACAGGTGACCCCGGGGAGGCCCTTGATGCAGAAAATTGAACCAGTCTTTATTTTTATGTAACTAAACTGAATTAGATTTTTTTTCTCCAAATTGCTCCACATAACCTCCTAATCTTGTGAAATTATGTTGATTTTTTTTGTTAGATTTTAGTTAAACTGAAAAAATAAACCAGCACATACAGATCAAATAATATCTGCTGCATTATTGCTCCCTTTATCCTGTAACATGCAGGCCAAATAAATGTGGAGTCTGACGGTTTTGCATGATGAATAAAGTCAGTAAAAGGCACCCAAAGGCCAGACTCCTTCCCAGAGATCCCAGTATATTTCTTCTCCAGATTTTCTACCTGCCGGCTTTAGTGATGATCATCTCGGTGCCGATCTCGTAGAATCTCTTCCACAGCTCGGAGCCCTGCAGCTCTACTCGGACCTCCCTGTCCGGCCGGTAGTCGATCTCCTTCGGCTTGCTCTCCTCGCTGGCTGGATCAGAGTCTTCGGTCCTTGATCTGACAGTCTGTCTGTGCGGGTCACAGGAGGAATCCTCCGGCCTCCCCACTGCTGAACCTGCGTTCTTCAGCTGGCTGCTGGGACATTCGTTCTGGCCTGAAGAGTGCAAAAGAAGGCAGAGGTTAAGAAAACTTTACTAATGCTGCTAAAAAAATTTAGCTGTAACTTTGGGGATTTTTTATTTTTTTTTAATTGATTTTATTTTATAGACAACATCAAGAATACTGTTAGTTTTAATGCATAACGTTCTTTCAGTGTGTTGGATAAATATTTGCAAATTTGTATTTTTATGCAATCATCATCTGGATTTTTATTTTTAAAAAAAAATCTGATTAGATAAACTGAAATTGTGACAATTACATAAAACTGAATGTGGCCTAAATTTGAAAAACTGTCAGATGAAAAACTTTTGTTGTGCGTTTCAGTGTTCCAAACCGTGCGTAAAATGCTTGGAACCAAAAGCAGCGAGATGCGACTGAAACTTTAACATCCACGTCCTTGTGTCTCACCGGTGATGATGCTCCTGTCGCCGCTAATGTCTCCACCAGAACTTGACTCGTGTCCCTCCGACACTTTCATCCTCTTGCAGGGCTTCCCGACCAGCGCCTCCACCGAAAACGCGTGAGCCCGGGAGCTCAGGCCCTGCATTCTGCCTAAGGACACCGTCTCCACGAGCCGTATATCCGCCTGAACTTTAACTTTGTCCCGCACAGGGTTCGGTGTCCCGGCTCAGTCAGAGCAGGACGGGGAAGAATAAACACCAGCAGCAGCAGCACCTCAGGGCGCCCCTCTTCTCTCACAGCGGCTCCGTGACGCTGCGTAATTGATCCGGTGCGTTCCCATGTGTTCGCCGAGACGCGCGCCCTCATCCAAAAAAAAAATCCTGATTATTGGCACGCCTCTTCTCACTACAATATTTCCCTCTCTCCCCCCTTTATCCGTTTCTACGTCTCCCCTTCCCTGTCTGTCTCGCAGAGGGCTTGTTCCTCCGGTTCCCCTCTGGGCGTCACGGAGAGGGAGGGCAGAGTGCAGCGCGCATTCCTTCACACGGGCCTGCGCTGCAAAAAATATCCATCTTCGCCGTAATCTCGATCTTTAAATCAAATTTCTTCAAACTAATGCGAAAAAATTTCACGATGAACATGAAAAAATAATTACTTTTCCTTCCTAAAGCAGTTGTTTTTAAACGTGTCAACACTTCTAAACAACAACAAAATAAAACAGATTAGTTATCAGCTGCATCAACAGGTGACACTTGATTAAAATCACAATTAAATAATGTTAATTTTAAATAAAACGTGTGAAAACTTACCTTTTCCTTCAAATTGAAGAACACTAATAACATTTAATAAATGAGGGACATTTCTTGCAGTGTTCGCTTCATCTCATCTGTCTTTGAGTATCCAGGACAACCAGCAGGAGCATCTTTACGCGCCACTGTTGTGAAGATACATTTGGTAATTTCAAGATGATTAAACTAATCTACAAAGTCGGTGCCGTTTAACAAACTAGGGCAAGTCCAAGCAATTATCAGAAGTAAAATGTGAAAGAATTAGGCCAAGAAGCAATGATTTAAAACGTGATCTGCTGGTCTGAGGTTACGTCTAGAGTGTGTTCAATGGGATTTTGTTAGACATCTTCCCTCGAGGCAACATTTTAAACAGAAACAAGCCTTTCAGTTGTTTTCCAAGTTGCTTCCCTCCATTTAGAGAGCCGACAGATAAATAAAGTGATTTTTTTAGAGTATTGGAAGTAGAGTCGAGGCATAAATATTTAAGTCTGTTAATTCAGACCATCTGGAAGGTAAAATATCTCCGTGAAACTCGCAGCATTTCTGTTGAAGCTAACATTTCCTATATTAATTTGGAGGCTTTCCTTTGAGCGCTTTCTTGTCTCCCGGTTCTCCGGTATAGAAGTTGGATTTTTTTTTTCTTCTTCTTCTTCCTTTTCTGTTGTGGTACCCGGTGAGGGTGTGCGCCAGTCTGGTTCTCATAAATGCGGAGATCAGATGGAGTTTGGCGCACAGGGGGAAACTGGGCTGTAATGACAGCTCGGGATTATTACATTACTGCTCGACATGAAATAGATCCGCTTTACACAAATACAAGTCAGCGAAGGCTCTATTTAAAATGTTTTTTAATCACATGCTATAATTGCTGTGAGGAGAAAACAAATGAGGGCTGTGTTTACGGCACGGTTGGTTTGGTTGGTGATGGAAATCTCTGACAACAGCCGGGAAATGGAGAACTATGACCAACCGGAATCACATGTTCTCTGTCATCATAACCTGTTTTAGGACTGCGGCCTGGATCCGTGTTTATTCTTTCCAAACTTCTCTTTCAAAACTGTCACAAAGTGCATCTCAAAGGCTGCGTCGTGCGTCCATACGGGAGGAAAATGCGCAATGCTGGCTGTGCGCGCAAAGGCCTGCTGCTGCTGCTGCTGCTGCTGCCTCTCATTAAAATAAGACGCGAAAAACTGATAGAAATAGCCTGTGTAGTTTCCCTGAGAGATTGCTTTTCCATTCTGTCTTCAGCAGTCAGCTCATAAATCTTCCTCATGGGATTATGGGATGTCAGCGGAGTGCTGACGGGCGTGCAGGCCTGCGATCGCCTCTCCTGGCTTTGTTAAGCACAACAGGAAGCTCCTTCTCGTTGCTTTCTGATTCGTAATCCAGTGCAAATCTGCGTTTGTCCCATGCAGGGATATTTGGCACACATGTTTCCTCTTATTAAGCACAATACAGGCGTTTGGCGGAAACAAGAGACTCAAATCCAATTTAGCAGAGGCCTCAGGTTTCCATTAAAGCGGAAGTTTGATGACCAGCTTGCAATTAGGCCCTCCCATCATTTTGCGCCTTCAGGCTGGCTGGCATGCTGTTGATTTGTAGCCTGATTGATAATCATGTGCGGATAATTGGTCTGCCAATGAAGCCTGGTGGTATGGAAGGCCTTGAACGCACCACAGTAAAAGTGGAACACAAGTTTAGCTGTTAAATGTAAAATCTAGCTTTTACCTTATTTAAGTTGGTGTTTTCCTCTATTTCAGTGCAAATGCTTTATTTACTCGGTGTCATTTGTTTTTCACTGTGGCTTTGTGCAGCTGAAGTGTGTGTGTTTGCAGCTCCAGGCCGGTGCCCAAAGAGTAATCACGACCAGCCGTACAGCCGTGCGAGGCGTCTGTCTGTACTGTACATGTGCACACGCTCACAACTTTAAATGTATCTGAGTGTGTGTGTGTGTGTGTGTGTTTATAAACAGGCCTGTCTGTCTGCAGCTCAGTGCTGAATGGATGTGACGGGGCCCCCTGATGGTTTGTTTTAAGTTGGATTCTGATGCTGAGCAGTTAGTGTGTGTGTGTGTGTGTATGTTTTTGTGTAAGTGCGTATGAGGGTTATTCTGGGCATGAGCTGCTGGAGCGGATGCCCACTCACTGCCAGACGTCAAACTTCCACCACCAGTGTGCTGTGACATTCGTAGAGTGTTTGAACGCAGGACGCTGGGCACACTTAGTGTGTTGTGGCACTAATGGGACGTGAGTCCTCTGGATTGGACATGAATGAAAGCTCACCTGGAACACACACACATACGCTCTATACTGAGACAAGGATATGCTAAATGTTTCCAATGCTGGTTTTATAGCTACTAGGGATGTAAATTTTAGAATATTTGCTTAGCTGATGGTCACATTATCAATCAATAGTCAACTAATCATTACAATGTAATAAATGTAGTGCCATCCATTTACTACGGTGGCCGACAAGGCAACTGTGGTGCATATACACAGCTGCATATACATGAATGTGTTGCATAAGCAGAAAAGGAAAATGCTGTATATTCAGTCACACAACAGAAGTGCCACCGGCCTCTAGGGGCAGTAGTGAGCTTTACACCTGAGAGGCAGACAACGGTGAGCGAGACAAGTAACGTTAGTTGAGGGAAAAGCTGCATGAAAGGTGTGTATTCTCTGGTCTCCATGGATGCTGTGGTTCAGGTGTTAGAAGTGTGTCAGGTGTTGTCCTTTAATCGTAAGGTTGTCGGTTCGATCCCCGGCTCCTCCACAGTCGAAGTGTCCTTGGGCACTGAACCCGAAGTTGCTCCCGATGGCAGGCTAGCGCCTTGCATGACAGCTCCATTGGTGAATGAATGTGTTCGTGAATGGGTGAATGAGAAACACATTGTGAAGCACTTTGAGGTAGAAAAAAGCGCTACATTAATGCAGACGGTTTACCATAAACATAAATAACAGAGAGAACACAGGGAGACGGTAGTAAAACACCACTTCAGCATCGATATAATCACAGTGACTGAAAAGCTAAAAACATAAAAACTGCCCCTAGAGGCCTGGGGCACTTCCGTTGTGTGACTGGATATGCAGCATTTTCTTTTTCTGTACATCATTTATCATTGCAATTTACTGATGAAGTCACGGACATCTAACCATTCAGCTACGCAGACGTCGTCCCAGTAATATCGGGCTTGTCTTCATCACATGAATATAAACTGGAGGGCATTAACTGCTACAACAGTCTCTGTCATGGTGGTCGGTTGCTCGCTAACCCCAACAAAACTCCCCGTCTGTCAATGTGAAACTGCCCATCGTCTGAGTAACCACCTCATGTGTTAAACACAGCAAACAAACTGCAGCACATCAAATCGTAAGAGGCTCTACCTGGTGGCACAAACAGGTACTGCAACTAATGAACAAAACAATTTCTGACATGCATGACCTTCTTTTTCTGCGTAGGCGATGAACACATGAATAACATCCCTCATAGCTACATTAGATCTGATAAACTGTGGAGACCAAAAAGATGTTGAGCTGTTTGTTACGTACTTATATAGTTGTTGGTACCTACTTTCTTCTCCTCTCTATCACCAGAAGATGAATAAGCAGACAAGAGAGCAGGACCAGAACTAACCAGTCAAAGCTTCTCACAACACGACCAATTACAGAGCGACAAATTCCTCTGACCCCGACATGTCATCAGCTCCGTGATGTGTATATGTGTTTATGTACAAGTGTGTGTGTCACATCTGCTACTCATAACCTCCGTCTTGTCGCTCTCTCAGGAGGTAAAGCTCAGCTGTCGGTGGTCCACGGCGTCTCTCAGGCTGTTGAGTCCCTGCAGGGAACAAAGCGTCTTCGCTGCTTCTGCTTCTCCTGCAGCCCCGACGGAAGAATCAGTGATCACATCCTTCTCTGCCTACAGGAGGTAATGGACTGTGGCGGCCAACGTGGCGGCAACTTGATTTGCTGTTGAAAGTAATCCAGATACTCTCCTCCGCTTTGCTGTCAATGAGAGAAATTTCCATTTAGTTTCATTTGACTGCTGCCTTGACGTCTGGCTAAATAAAAAAATTAAAAAATCTCACCTGTTCAGCACGAATTATTTGCATCTTTCATACAAGTTACTGAAAATCAAACTGCTTTACGGAGAAAATAGCCACAAAAATGTGTCAAAAAAAATACCTAAAAACATTAAAAGATAGAATAAAATAAAAATAAATTACCAAAATGGGATTAACGCATGGATTTTATTTTAAGTCTTATTGACAAATCTAATAGAAAAGACCACAATAGATCAACTGATGCTGCTAACAAGGCTTGTCTCTGTATCTGGAGCCTTATGTGGCCTTTTCCTCTGT